GAAGAGCGCATCAGCCCTTCGGATCGTCTCTCGCTCTCTTTCTCTATCTCGAACATTCCTCCTCGAGCCACGTGCGTCCATTCTTCCGAATGAGTAAGTCGATTAAGGTATTAACCCTGAAAAACCTGAAACGTAGCGTTTCGGCCAAATGGATCGCGTTTCTTTTCTCCGCCAAATGGGTCGCTGGCCGAACGAGCCCAACATTGTATATATAGTTATTACGTGTTACAACATGCAACATTTATATATCTGGTCACGGAATACAAAATTGCATGTAACAATTGTGGAAATTATAGAGTTTTAAGTGTTTTTGGTTCATTGGTTGTGTGAAATGAATGAAAATGAACCAAACCAAAAGAGAAGAAGAGAGACATAAATGAAGAGTAAAAATGGGATAAGTCCCTTTGTTCTTCTTGCCTTATTATGAAGCATGAAGACTAAATATATACATGATACAAGAGGCTAGTTGTAACGCCCGAAACCCGCATTCCGCAATACGAGTTGCGTCACATGGACAACTAAAATAAAAACTCAATTTCTGAAAATCCGCGGGAATTTAAAACTTTTCTTTTCAGAGTCAGCGGAAGGAAAAATATTCATACATACATATACGGTACATTATCCCAGAGATAATTATACATAACCAGTGGTAGTGATGAAATTATTACAAACCGTAAAAGTCTACCACCGACATAACACAAAACCGTTTTTCCCCGAAAGCGTAAATGTACCATAGGAAATAATTATACATGATCAGTTCACAAGTCGTCCAAGTCTCTGACGTCCGCTCCTCAGCTACTGCTGCTCGCGACCTGAAACGTTGCATAACAACGTCCTAAGCTAGCAATCACAATCAAGTCCGTACGACAAGTCGCAGGACAGAGTCCGTCAAATCGTCTCTACGCGCACCATACGTAGGTAATGTACTCCCCATGTGCATAGCACAACCATCTCTCTCCTCGAAATCCATACTCCGCAACCACTCGGATCCGGCATAAATATATTTTTCTCCTCCCGAACACATCACCCCACCCTAGCATCGATGTCACCTCTCGATACTAGGCGTGTCACCCAACTCCGGCATTGATGTCACCTCTCAATACCGGAGCTCACCAGACGTCGGCTACAACCGACGCCATCGACTATAACGAGAGAGCCCATCGCTGCAACTCTCCCTCACCGACCATCCGTCGTAGAAATACTTGTCAGGTTCGGGTCCGAACCTGGCAGAGTAAGTCCATACCTCTCTTCGGGAGATCCCAATCTACCCGAATCTCAGGTATGTGTGATGCCCTCATCCTCGGGATACTCATATCCCGGGGTCCGCTCTGTCGCTAACGGAAACGTTAGCGCGGTTCCAAGAACCGTATGTTCCTCGTCACGCAATAGTACCGACTACAATCGGCTATCTACACAAGTCATCGGGGGTGCCCATAACCATCCTATCGTTCAGACGTTGGCGCGATTATATCATCGCCACATTCACAATCATATCCCATATGGGTGGCATCCGACCCGGATCGGATGGCTCATAAATGGGATGCAATCTCGCAAACATCGTGCAATCATTCACACACGTTCGTTTCTACAATCACGCGCTAAACGTTAATCCGAACCCTTTCGAATTAACGTTAACGCCATGCCAACTACCCCAGTCACATGCATTTATATAGTTTATTTACTATACATGCATTTCCGTTTGCGTTCTTTTATATTTATTTATATATTTTCTTTGAGTCTTCCCATTCATATTACCAAATTGTACCTCCGGTATGACCTAGCTGGTCCCGGTCCGCTCGGATAACCAGTTCGGTTCATTCCGTGGTTTTTAACCTTACCTGTTATTCATTTTGGGTCACAACCACATGGGGTCCGGTCTGGCCCATATTTCCGGTATATTTTAGACTTTTCACTTTTTCACAATTTGAGCCGGGGTAATATTAGATCCGTCTTATCAAGTTTTTCAATTTTCCACATGGTGAAATTTTAAGGTTCCGTTACTTTTTTTTTTTCAGACCGATCGGTCTAGGGACTAGACTGATCGGTCTAGGGACTAGACCGATCGGTCCAGTCAGTTCAGAACGGACGTTCTGGAGTGTCCAGACCCGACGTCTGACTTGTCCAGAACGGACGTTCTGTACTACCCAGAACGGACGGTCCGAACTTCATCTTCAACCTCTGGACTTCGCGTTTTCTCCTGGAGACCTAGAACGGACGGTCTGACCTCAGACCGGACGTTCTAGTCCTCGGAGTTAATAAAAAACACTTAAACATGCATGGTTCACTATGAGTAATACACTAAAACTCATAAAACTTCATGGAGAACACGAATCAAACATCAATTTAATACGGAACACACAAAAACCCAAAACGCCATGTCAACAGACTTCCGAATTAAACTCGAATTCACTCACCTTGGGTTAACCTCATGCGTTGGGTGATGGATAGGAAGTTCGGTGGTGATCTTCTTGCTCTGTAGAGACCGAATTAAGGCGTTAATTTCTCGGATTTAGGATGGAAAATTTCGGATTTTGCAGAGAGAGGTGAGGGTAGAGAGAAGATGAAGAACTGAAGCGCGAGAGGGGTTAAAAAGGCACGTTCTCGACAGAAATCGGGCCCAAGGGTCAAAAGGTTGGTTTTCTGGTCGGGGTTAGTGCGCAGGGGTCGTTTTCAGGTCGGGTCTGGATGAAAGTCGCGACTTTCGTCGCTGCCGACAATCTGGTCCGTCCGTTCCGGGACTGTCTGGAACGGACGTTCCGCTCCTGCGTGGTCCGTTCGTTCTAGGCTCTCCGGAACGGATGGTCCGAGTTTTTTTTTTTGAAAAACTGGGTTGTTA